GTTTTCAATTGGGAACCCTCTGTCAGTCGGGGACCTTATTGTCCTATATTGTTCGGGGTCCCCAACTGAATGCAGAAACAAACTCTAATGAACAGAGCTTTTGAGTGACATACAGTACCAGTATTTACCCGTATGTCAGAAGTCCAGGGGGGGTATCATTACGGGCTTCGTTAGTAATAATGTGGGATGAGAAATGGTAAACATTGAGACAATTTTGTATTTTGGGTGAGGGTTCAATCAATTTGGGGGCTTTCTAGCAGATAAATGTGAATGTAATTCAAAAGTGTAATCAATGAAAGATTCACATGTATTTGATACGGTACCGTGTGTAAGGACCATCAAAAGGAATAGATTTACAAATGTAAATTCAATTAATGCACAGGAAAATTAAAAGGAAACATTGTCACTTTATACCAATACGAAAAGAGACAACAATTTTTGACGTCAAGGCTTATGTAAAAATGACTTACTCAAAATCAAACAAAAGAACAGTCACAAAATGAACAATAAGAAACAATTCCTGATTGTAGGTCATGACATGTAGAAGTACGTGCACCAAAAATATTAAAACAAAAACAATAGAATACAAAACAAGTAGTAGCTTTTTACCATTTCCTAGCAAAACGTGGCTTTGGAGTTTGGTCGAACACCTAATTTACACTTGGTTGCCTGCAGATAACATGTGCATAATGAGTATGTGCTAATTTTGCTTTTTATGTCATTTTGTACGAGAATACACGCTTTGTGTTGCGTTGTATTTCTGATCGCTGTGTCTCTATCTCCTCCCATTTCATTGAACAGTACAAGTTTGTGGAGAGATTGATCTCCCGAGCGATGCGAATGTTGATGCCATCCAGCAGCGAGGTGCTGACACCCAGTCAAGCTGTTCTCCTTTTCCAGCAGTTCTTTGTGCTCCAGACGCTCATCCAGTACAGCAGTTCCATCGCTGCACATGTCCGCAACAATTACACAGAGGAGTTCAGGTTGGTTTCCAGGCTTGCAGGTGTTTACTGGATTATTTTCATTCGGATACTGGTCAATTATGTGAAAACATTTTCGGTCAAAATAAAGCCCTCCTTTTTGGATGGTGAAGGAGATCATGGCCCAGAACAGTGTACGTGTGACCCCCCAAAATCAATTAAAATAATTTTCATTGAAAAAAAGTGGGATAAACACAAAGACAGTGTGTGTTTGAAACTTTAAAGTTGTCAGTGATAAGAATTGCAAAAGATGGTGGGTGAAAAAATTCTTGAAGACGGCTCACTCTCTCCCAATAAAACTATTGTTGATTAAAAATTGCAAGAAAATTAGTGTGATTTTTGTAGAATGAGCTGCTATCTGCACTCATACTTTGGGTTTGCTTTGCTGAGGACATATTTTTAAAAAGAAACAGTGTCAAATAAACTTCATTTATTTTTTTTATGCATGATCCTATCTACAAATACAAACATTTCCACACAGATGGTTTGTTATGCAGGCCTATTAAAGCTGCATTGAAGAGCAACAATAAAATTTACCACTTGACGTGCCAGCTTCTGAACTGTATTCAGCGAATTCAATCACCACTGGTAATTTATCTCTACATTGTGCATTTAATGCTCGAGTTTTTCCAATCTGTTTTCCCCGTGGAGACTTGAGGTGATTAAATCTAAACATATCTATGAGGGTGTCTCACTGAATGCCGGCGAAAGGACTTTAACCTGCCCGTAGGTGGTCTGCAGGCTGCCTGAGCTGTCCCAACTGTCCTGTAATTACAAGGCGCGCCTAATTACAAATCGCCTCCTGGAGCAGCAGGGCGAAAAAGACGGAGATGGGAATTTATGGTTCTTCGCATGGTTTAGTTATGGGGGAGGGGGGGGTAGTGGGATTCTTGTGTTTGGCAGGGGGGATATTGATCCAACGAAATCAAATTGAGCATGTCTAATCCTTGCAAATGAAGCATGGTAGGAAGACTTGGCTATCCAAGCTAGGGGAATTGTTAATGGATCTTGCATAGACAGATCATTTTCTAGCCTTTGTCTGCTGCCAATTTATTGCGGAGAATGATTGCTTTTCAAAGCAATTGTTATTAAAATCGGAAATGGAAAATTTTTGTTGTAACATGTATGTGCACACATACACAATTGCACATGTTTTTTGCATATACTCATTCCCCAGAATTAAACAGAAAATGAGACAAGTGGATCATGCTTTCAGTTTTTCTAAGTGCACTGTTTTTACTTTTAGAAAGAGTCAAATGGATCTTCTGATATCTTAGGGCAGCCTGAAAAACCTTACGGAGAAAAACGGTTGTGATATTTTTCTTATTTTAATAGGTTTCAGATTTATTTTTCTTTGATTTTCTGTTGTATCCTCGGTGTTTTTTTTTTTTCAAATTGTCAGTGTTACTTGTACTTTAAGGGATTTGCAGGGTACTTTTTCCTTTTTTCCTTAAGAGTCAGATATCATGTCGGGAAAACTGAAGACTAACAACTGAACTTAACTTGGATGGTACGGATTCCATTTATTGCATGGGATCTTCAAATGAAAATTGCTCCATAATTTTTTTCTTCTGAGTTTTGTGACATATGTACATGCACACTTAGTTATTATTGGACAGAATAGAATTTAGCCAGAGTGCGGCTCACTAGAGGTACCTGTTCATGCACATTAAAAAGAAGTAGCCCTCGCCGCTGTGCGACGGTCATCCATCTCTGTCTTATTAAGTTGAAATCCCTGAATTTGCTGAGGTCTGATGATCAGGCAAGTCACATGTGAGCCGTCAGAGAAACCAAAAGATGACAAATGACAGACCTCTCGCTTTTCATGTCAGTGCACCTGTTCGGTATCCATCCCTATTCCTTTGGGCAATTGAGTGAGCAGGTTCAGTGGCCATTATTTCAGACATGGTCTGACAGTGATACATGTAGTTATTTTGTGGGTTCTTCATCAAACCCGTCATTTTCAGGTAAGTTTCATACCACATGTGCTTATGTACTGGTAAGACAGTGTCGACAGGTGCAAGCATTTCTGTGTGTAAGGACATATATCACCGGACTAGACTAGCATGAATTATGCAAATTGGACTCCTTTTTACAAGAGTGTGTATATATGACAGATGTCAGTAATGATACAGGGAACATGTATGAAGCACAGAAACCAGATAGAAAGCCATGGGCTGTTACAGGCCGGATCCTGCAATTCATCAATGCTAACGAGTAACCAAAATTGATCAGCTGTGCAGAGGAATAGGTTGAAATTCGACATTCCATCTTCAAATTTTACTTTCCCTCAGTTTTAGTGGTAAAGATGATGAGACGGAAAGATGATTCCCACCTGACTCACTTCCAAAACTCGGCAGTTGCTCTGGGATTTTCTGTCTTCTTCCTGTCTTTCAGAAGCCCGCCGTGCATCCCAGTTGTACTACAATGTGAATAAGCCTCTTTCACATAATGACAGGGAACATGACACGCCTGTCTTACATGCTGTAAATCTGTCATCCATCTTTCTATTTCTTTTTTTTCCTGTAGCCCTGATCTTGAGTGCCCACAGATGGCCTCATATTGGGTAAATTGTATGTGTACAAACCACCCCAAAAAAAATCACTGACCCATTGCAGGAAAAGAAATATTTACAACAGTGCACGCCTGTGTCGTAGAGAAAATGGTTGTTAAAGCTAAACAACAGTAAATTCAAGGAATGGGTAAGAATAGCTACTTACATCGTACACTGCAGCTTTGGAATTTTACTCCTGTACCTGGATGTTTGCGAGCCATTAGGCAGGGTGGAGATACATTCACACTGCCGTGCCACTTGACAAAAGTGATGAAGTGTGATACATAATTAAATCACTTATGCATTTACTTCAAACCTTTTTCTTTTTCTACGCGCACTTGTGTGCGGATCTTCACCTGAAATCGTTGCAGTCGTTGAACGGACCCGACCTTTCCCGTGGGCTTGAGAATGTTTTGTTTATCGCAGAGTTGATTCCGTTGATAGCACAGTCCGTGTGAGGTAGTACCATGGCCATTTGGAAAACTTCACTTGATGTAATTAATCGTCCCCCCCTCTCTACCTTGAACCCTGCAGTATCATGTCCACTGAGAATGATGTATGAATGCTCACGGGTGTGCATGGAAGGAGGAAGGCCTGTCAATCCATTGTTAACTTCTCGCAAACTTGGAATACGTACAGAATGTTTTGGGTTGTTTGTTCATGTGTGATAGTGTATAACCAAACACACTGTTTTTCCCACCAGCAAGTAAACCTTCTGAAATTTGTTTCCATTTTTTAACGAATGTGATTAGAATTTTTTTTTTCTTTAATTACATTCAGGTACTACGTCCGCTCTCCCCACATCGTCAACAAACTCCCTCAGGATTACCCAATAACCAAGGTGACGCTGCAGTTGATCAGCGAAGTTTTGAGCCATGTGCTGCAAGAGCGAACTGTCCTACAAGCCCCTCGGTAGCTGCAGTGACTCGGCCGAGTGTCAAGAGTCCATTGTGATACCAGTTACATCAACGGAACTAAAGTTTAGTCCCTCTTTGTACGTAGTAAAAGACAGACAAGCAGCAGTCAGCAAGTGTTGTATTTTGGATTTGAACTCTTTAACCATTCTTCGGGCCGGTTCATACTTCAGATGAATGCGAAAGTGAAGCCAGCTAGTTTGAGTGAATTTCATCTGAGTTGAAATGTGCTCAACATCTGCAAATTAGCAGCTCAGATATTTGATTTGACACCACAAAAGTTTGTTCATGTCATGTGCCAGTTGTTGACTGGCCTTCCACATGCATAGCAAATTTGGCTCTGATATTTGGATCCCAGTGGCGATGGTATTACAAAATTCTTAAGCTGCAGAAACAATCCTGGTGCCTACTAACAATGGCCTTATTGTACGAACTTGTTCTGTTTGCCCCGCTGCCACAATCATTTGATGGAAGCTTGTCATTGTTTGTGAAAAACTGTCGTCGTTGCAGTGAAAAACTGTTATCACTGCGATGAGAATACTGCAACTTCTCCCCACCCGATTCAGTCTGGTTTGTCTCATGATTGTACATGGAGTCGCCAGGCTTTGGAATCCAGCTGGTTATTCGTTGTGACCTCGGACAGGTCACTTTACCCTAGCTACTTGCCTCTCTTTAAGCAGTATAACTGGGTACCTGTGAGGGTAGAGACTGGTGTGCACTGATATCGGCCGCCAGAATCAGTTTCGCAGCCAGATGAACAGGGTTTATAACTGTAATTGTGCATTGGGCAGCAGGACGGGTGGATATTTGCAAATTATCAATACGCATTATCATAATTGGAGAAGTAATGTTGATTTCCTTTACTTTTACTTCTCATGTATGTCACTGCAGGTTAAACACTGTACAAGGACTGGCTTGGTTTTGTGTTTCCTCATTTGTGTGAATTCTTAGTTGCATGTGTGATTCATTGACCCAGCTTTCATTTTAATGTGCACAAAACTGGTGCATCTGTACTTGAGATACATAGAAGCGTGCAAGAGTAGAAGTGTGAAAGTGTCTTTCAGTAGCTGTAGTGCTTTGATATATTTCCCACGTGAGCCAAGGACATTTTTGGATATGTACAGAATACCGAAGGGTAAACGTTGTAGCTAATTTAAACAAACATGGATCTTTGATCCTGATTGGTTGCCTTGATCCATGGCAACCAATCTTGCAGTTTGTACCACAGTCCATATAGTAATGTGTTTTTGAGGTGGCCAATATAATAGTATATGTGTGCACACTACAGAGGCAGGACAATAGTTTTCTGTCTAACATGAGACAGGAGCAGTTAGCCATTACTCGAAATGTCAGACGGTAGCACACACAATTCCTATTTGTAATTATCAGACTGTTCATTCGTAAAGTTCTTTGTAAAAAATATATGAAAAGATTGAAAGCTGTTTTTTTTAAAGAACTTTTTCTTATTTAGAAATATAAATAGTGGAGCTGTGGTTATATTTTTGAGTGACATGTTAGTTTGTATTAGTTGTTTTCAGGCACTTTTAAGGTTTGTACGTTGTTAACTTGAAATTTATTTTTTCTCTTAAAAATGAATGAATAAACAATAAAGGCAATACAGTCCATTCCAGATTAAACAAAATGATAGATATGATACAGAATGTCTTGTGAATCAAACTGTGCCTTCATCAGTGATTTTAAGTCAGTGAATTGACTAATAAAAGTTCAAAATTTGTGCCTTGATTCGTTTACATCTTAAAATGGACCAAATCCCTTTTATCATTAATTGGCAGACTTCATTATTACCAAATGTGCCTACAGTGCTACTGTAATGCTGTATTTCATTGGCTTGTCACCGAAAAATTCTATATTGATATAATTTCAGTATTGAAAGATAGTATTTATATCAAATTTAATAATTTATGGCAAAGTCTGTATTAGTGACATCGCATGACATTCAATATTCCCATCGAAAATTTCAGCAATATGCTTCATGTGATTATTCCAAAATATATCTAGGCTAATTATTACTAACTTCTTCTAACTGAAATGTGTTGTAGTCTAGTTCCTGATGATATATTTTATAAAATGTTAAACATGTCTTTTTATTTGTGTGTGTGTTTAAAGATTAGAATTTTATATTGCAAGGGTGTTATACCGGTACGTCAGTTTCACATCCCCCTTCCAGTGGAAGACAAAACATTGGCGAAAAACTTAACAAGTCTAAAATTATACATTTATCGAACCGCTGCAAAGAAGGTGACGTGTTACTCAGATTCGGGGTTTTGCGCAGTTGTTGGAAAGTCATTAACGAGGGGGTACAATACCCACCCTCATTCTACATTCTGTTTGTTTCAGAGTATGCAATTTACGTTAAGTCACCTTGATTTTCATGTATATGTTTGAACAAAAAATACACTCAATAAATGTTTTATACTTTTGAGATTCAAATCATAGTTATGTTTCCTTTTTCATTGTTGAGTTGAAATAGGCTCGTCATTTAGCATTGACACGCTTCACCCCCACAAAAACTGGACCAATAAGGCATCGACAGTTAATTTTCCCTCTTGAAAATCTGCAATCAGCGTTTTCCCTCGAGCAGATTACTAATTTCTTTGCTATTTGCTCTCTTTATAGTTTTTACTTCTCAGTTGAAATTCTGATTGCTATAACAACAACGCGAACACACCCCCCCAAAAGACGAATCATGATGACCACACTCTAGCCACCTTTCATCGCTGAAAGTGTCTGCACGTGAAAGTTGCCCCCCTGAAAACCTGTTGCAATATTTTCGGAAATAAAAGCGCCAGTATTTTAGAAATGGGACTTCCATCTTTCCTGTCTGGGGATGATTGAAAATTCTTTAACCGGTC